TATTTAAAAATCACAAAGGCTTAGAAAAGCTAAAAATAGTATGAATATCAAACCTTAGCATAGGAGACGGGGATGGGAGAGTAATGGAAGTGAGTTATTACCTCATCTTTCATAATAGGAATGCTATAGGTGTGGTGTATTGATTTATGGAAGAGTACAGGAATAGGCACATTATCTAAAGTTATCAAGGCAATCTTCAAAAAATGTTTTAAGTAGCAGCTAAAAAGTGATGTCTTTAGGGAAAATAATTGGGAATGGAGAAGTATGGGTGAGAAACCGTTACTTTTCACCATAAACTCATCTGTATTATTTTATTATTTACCATATACATGTGATATTATGAAAGAACATATTTTAAAAAATAAAACTATGTGTGCATATTGGCATTCCTTATTAACATGTAGAGAGAAATGAAAAAATAGGTAACTTTAAAAGACAACATTTACAGAAAATTTTCATCATAAGCCACAATACACTTAAAAAACATTCTGAAAAGCTCAGTATTTTTTAACTTATTAATACTTTCTTAATAAAATATGTACATGACAGAAAACATTCCTTTTTAATAGTTGACAACCACTCAGCAGTGTAACAGAGAAACAAAGAAGAGACTGCACTTCAGGCACAGCCAGGAATACATGTGTGATGTTGGAAAAGTCCCATCACTTATTCTACTGGGGCCTTGGTTTCCTCTTCCACTGGATGAAAGGTTTGGGCAAAAAAGGCCTTGAAGGCGACTTCAGGCTCAACCTTACATATAGCAAAGCAGCTCATTTCATGTAATTAGAATCAAAGATTTCAAAGATTGGAAAAGAGTTTAGAAGTCAGTCTTTCAACCTCATTTGGCAGAAAGAAAAGTGAGGCCTCATAAAACTTCTAGAGCTACCAAGAGTTAAGGGGGCGGTGGAATCAGAAATAGAACCCATACTCCCAGACTCTCATGCTGCCATAACAAATGCCATAGAACCAAAACACCTGTTCTGGAAGTTAGACGTCTGAGATCAGAGTAAGGCATGGTCAGGTTCTAGTGAGGACTTACTTCTGGGCTTGCAGATGGTAGCCTTGTCACTGTGAGCTCATATGGTCTCTCCTTGGTGCACATACATTGGAGAAAATCTATTTCTCTTCCTCTTCTAATAAGGCCTCCAATCAGATCAGATTAGGACCCCACCCTGTGACTTCGTTAACCTTAATTGCCTCCTAAAAGCCCTTTCTCTAAAAACAGTCACATTGGGGGTTGGGGCTTCAACATATGAAATTGGGAGGGAACCACAGTTCAGTCTCTAGCATCTTCTTTCATAAAATGTATGACACAATCTTTTGTTGTTGTTGTTAATCCTCACTTGAGGATATTTTCCCATTAATTTTCAGAGAGAAAGAAACATTGATGTGAGAGAGACACATCGATTGGTTGCTTTCCGCACACCCTAACCAGGGTCAGGGATCTGAGTCTGGAACCAACATACATGCCCTTGTATGTTGCCCAGAATCAAACCGGGGACTAAAGGGTCAACGCGCTATCCAATGAGCCAAACTGGCCAGGGCAGGATGTCATAATCTTTTCACATCTCTCCTCCCTGCCAACATAACACAACAACTCTTGTCTATATATTTCAGCATTTCAATATGAGAAAATTGCACTTAACTGTAAAAAAAACGAAACTATTTCACAGCCTGATATTGTTTCTCGTTTCTCAGTGATGACTTAAAGAGACTAACTGCATAAAGATTTGCATGTGATATATTTTGCACTTTCTCTACATCAAAGTGTAAATTCAAAGACACAAATGCAGAGGTGCTAAGTTACTCTGTGGTAGCCTTCTATACACACTTATCAGTTGCGCTAACAATATCCCCAAGAATAAAATATGCCCATTAAAGCTAATAGATTTCTAGGAAGAAAAATGTTTTGTTCTTGGTTGAACACTTCCCTCGCAGTCCAGTTCCGTGAAACAAAACCCCACGTCTTCCTTTCAAACCGACAGAAGCAAACAATACAGTCAACATCTGGGTGAGGAGAGGGTTATATTTTCGGTTCAGGGTTGAGGAAAAAGATTTGCTAATCATAAAAAGCATATGAAGTCACTGAAATTACAAAATAAGGAGCTGAGAATAGGAAACTTAGTTTTAGAGGAAACTACTACTTAAATTACAGCATGTCTAGAAATGGGAAGGGATGCATAAAACCCATGAAGTTGCAGATAGTATAATTTATTTAGTAAAAAATATATATATGAAGGGTGTGCACTATAGACCAAGTAGAAAATACTTTAGGAGAGGTTAGGGACAACTACAAAGAGATTTACATGACTTCATACTCACAGATCATGTGAGAGGAGATAGTGTGGTCATCCACTAAAATGCCTTTCCAGGGCCTCCCAGCCCTCTTCCTCTTCCCTCTGCTGAATCCATCAGCCCCACCTTGGCTCCCAGAGTACACGGGGTAGACACCTTTACTGTAACCCTTATATATTGCCTTGCAGTGTTTTTCCAAGAGTGGTTCTTATACCATCTGCATCAAATTCACCTCCACTAATCCTCATCCCTACATGCTTATTAAAATTGCAGATTCTTTGGCAGCTCTGTAGAAAACAGCTCGTTGAGAATGAGCTCAGGAATCTGCATTTTATCCACTTGCAGATGAAATGTATACTACATTTTGAGAATTGCTACTACATGTTAGCTATTAGCTTGTCTCTCACCAAACTGAAAGTGCCTTTGATGACAGAAGCTGTGATTTATCAACCTCTTTATCCAATGACAAGCTCGAGTAGATCCCTGATAAACACGTGTTGACTGGGACACTGAGGAGCACCTCTTAGTGAGCAGAAGGCAGGGAAGTGGAACTCTCAGAATGACTGACCAAATCTTAAGAATGGCACTCAAGCCTCAACACCGAGATGAAATAAGCAGGAAATGATGTTGGGTTCCGATTCAGAACTGACTCAACACTTCGCAAACTGCTTTGAAATATTTACTAATTGTGCTCTGTGGGAAACCAAATGAGGGCTAGCTGAGACTCCAAGGAGTCCGGCCACTTGCATGCAGTGACCTAGGCAGGACACAGCAGTTTTACCAATGAATGCCAGTGAGGAGCAGCAGGGAAGATGGTCAGCAAAGAAGCCAGGAAGTCCTTCACTTCTGGGGAGTGCCGAGAAGGATTTGCAGCTGAAATTTGAGGTTGAGTGGAAAACCACATGAGAAACAAGGTGTCGAAATGAAGCAACTCAGACTCACACAGGAAGCCACACACCAGAGACCAGAGGCTGACCTGGCCATCAGGCTGATTCCTACTGTGCACCTGCGCTTGAGAAAGTCCTCGTCGCAAGTACAGATCAGGACTGGAAGCGACTTTTCCGGAAAGAAGAACGCTGGGATGACAGTTGATCCGTGGAACACTAAAAGGGGAATACTGAGATCTTTGTTTAAAGCTGTGACATCTTGCCTCTCACCTGAATAGGGAGGGCATAGGGTTAGACTAGGCAACTTGTGTCTTGCTGTAAAAGAATATTCGGGCTTGCAGAAGCAGAATATGTTACTGTCCAAGGAGAAAAGCTACACGATATAATATAAATGCTAGGTCATGTCCAGTTTCTGTGGTCATGTTGATCAACCTAATTACGATACCAACATTTAAAAAGACTACATTTAAGTTTGGTTTCTGGGGAAAACATGCTTGAACTCTTTGTTTTGTTTTTGTTTGTTGGGAGTCATGCAGGTAGAAAATGTTTAGACCTTTACATAAGGAAATGTGTCAGCCTCAAGTACATTCTGTCTGTGCTGAGGTTTAAACCCAGAAGGCAGCTCAGAGCTGGCAAGCAGTTCAGAATGGAAAAAACTAGAGAGAGGTGTCTCTCACCTCCAAGTAACTAAGAGCATCTGGAGAGGAAAAAACTTCCCAACTTTGCCTTCTGATGGCCTGGCATTTCTTCTATCTCTATTCTGCTCCTGCTCATAACTCCAGAATAGTTATTCCAAAGCTTTTTCATTAAGTCCCTGACTCCATTGCTCTCCTCACTTTACATGGTGACTCCTATGGTAGATCAGAGAGAAAATAAGGTGCCAGTGGAAAGAGCTTCTTCGTTTTCCTGCTTGCTCTGGGCCCCTGCCCAGAGAAGAAACTTATTCACCCCCTAGTACACATCACGTACACACACCTGTCTGACAATGTTTGTCGCAGTATGTGCTTGTCAGACATCCAATCAGTCTGCAGGGCACAGAGCAAATCCCGCTTCCCACCCCTCTGCTTCCAGATACATAAATGCCCAAGAAGTGTTCATGGGAGGAAGCAGACAGGAGAAAGGCAGCGGTATTGGCAACATGTTTGAGAGTATTTAACGTTCAAGGTGAATGGCAGGATGGAGTTAATTCAAGGAAACATTTAATAAAAATTTAAAACCAAAGAGACCACGTTAGCCTACCTACATAGGCACTTACCTAACAGCCTCATCAAACCATGGTGTAAGCATAAGATCACAAGCCACATTTAATTATTTTATTTTTAGTTGTGGTAAAATTCATATAACATAAAATTAACCTTCTTAACCAATTTTTAAAATGTTTTATCACTGTTTGCTATTTTTTTCTCTATCTTTTTTTTTTATTGAATTCACCGGGGGAGACATTCGTTAATAAGATTTAGGTAGGTTTCAGGTATACAGTTTTACAACCCATCCTCTGTATACTGTATTGTGTGCTCACCACACAAGTTGTCTCCTTCTGTCACCATTTACCTCCCCCCTTCCACACACACACACACATAAGAAAAAGCTCACTTTAACCATTTTTAAGCTGAGTCATGTTAAACGTGTTATAAGCACACCACTTTTAATGATATAAAATGAGGTTGCACCTTCCTTTTGTAAAAAGGACAAATACAGGCATTCGGGAGATCTGACTTAAGAAGGCTAGGTTCATGCCTAAAGCACACGTAGCAACTTCGTGCCTTAAGCACATGTAGCAGCTACGCAGGGCTGCCTGAAGGATGCACCACTAATTACCTGGCAGCAGCTTCTGGGGCTGACAGCAAGACGGTAACATCACAGTAATTGAAGAGTGTTTTCTTCCAAAGGACTCGTGCCGCAGACTACATTTCTGGTGCTAAAAATCCTCTGGGCTTGACAATTGCCAGCAATAGCCAGGCAACTTTAGGCCTGGCCCTGATTAACCAACAAACTAGACACTGAGTGATTTTAGAGAAGCACTACAGATCCAAAATGTATCAGTAAGTAAACAGCACATTATCCCACCTCTTACTCTCTACCCTCCCAAAAAAATCTTCATCTAGCTCTAAACTCTCTGAACTGGACCATTTGGCAATCTTCCACAGCAGGTGAGTAAGAAAGAGACCAGAAATTTGAAATGTATTGACAGTATCTGAAGTCAGGCAGTGAATAGATTCATTGCACCAATTCTAACATCATCATTCCGCAGCCCAGGGTCAATAGGCACCTAGAACCAGGGCAGAGTGTTTTACCTAACAACACAAAGCTTCAATGGCCACTTGAAGGATTGAGAAAAGAAGTCAACATACATTTTCTACAGCTACTTACTGAGGCTCTAGTATGGGCCAGCTGTGTGTTAAATAGTATAACATCAATATTAGCACACTTGCTCCCAAAGTTCAGAAATAAAACTTTCAAACTATGGAAAATCTGATCAAAAGTTATATAATCCCCCAAAAGTTACATAACCATGAAGGAAAAAAATGACAATATTTGCTTCTTCAAAACTTGTAGAGACTACACAGGGACAGAAAATCTTATAATGGACTACAAAGGGAATGTCCTAGGAAGGAAGGAAGTGAACGATTTGAAACAATTATTCAGAATTGGGTGATGATAATTTTCACAATTATGTGATTACTTTTCTTGGTCTGGAATTTATTTTGACAGTAAGAAAACCTCTTATAAGTAAATGGTGGTGTTTACTAGAAAGATACTGATCCCAAAGGGTAGAAAGTACACCTGTGCCATGCCAGGAAGGGAAACACGGAATTGGGAGTTAGGAACTATGGTTACACTCACAATTGCCCTGGAAGGTAAGATGCTCCCATATCCCCTTCTCTGTTTGCCTCCTTTCTTCTTTTCCTCCCCAGATGGGCTTTCTCTGCCTAGGAATGCACACGGCCAAATATGAAACCCTCTCTCTCACCAAAGCCCTGTTATTCTCGCCCGTCACATTCAATAGGGATGCACTAAAGCTTCTGAGACCTAATTTCAAATTCTTACTTGGAGAAATTGATGAGGATAGCTTAGGCCAAGTATTCACACCCAGATGTTTATGACTTTTCCAGAAGGCTCTATTTCCTGTGACGCCAGATATAGCACTAAATTTTGATGTTCTACCCATAGGATTGCAGCATCTTGATTCATCAGTAACCAAGCAAAGTTATAGAAATGCGAAGCAAGAACATTCTGTGCCAAATGCTTAAATTAACAGATCAATATTGTTGGTTTTCATCCCATCCAACAAAAAGCATGTGCCGTTTTTCTTAAGTGAAGAGTTGCAAGCATATCCTTAGGATGTTCAATCTGTACTGTTTCTTTTTTCCCCCACAGGAGATAAACTCATCTTTACTTACTGGAAAAAGCAGTCTGTGTGGTTGTTCTCATCATCAGCGTGGGAGCTGCTCTATGAAAGGCTAAGCACTTACTGGCTTCAAGACTGTTGCAACACACAGACAGAGAGCATAAACCCGCATTTCTCACCACAGATGCTTTGTCTTAGAGACTAGGAGCTGTGCTTGGTAACAAATGCTGGAAGGCACTGAGGTATCAATTACTAACTATTTAAGGACGATGCCATCTTTAGCAAGGAATAACACAACGATAAAAAACAGTTGATTCTGTTGCAGGAGTCAAGTATTTCCATACTCTTGTTAGCAAGCCTTTATAATCTATATTTAATCACACGTTTCTTTGGGGACTCTTGTCTAGGGACAAGCTTAAACCATTAATTAAATCACTGCATCTGCGATGCTGGAGTTGTTCCTCCCTTGTTTATAATACGCACTTGTCTACTGGTTTGAATGAGGAGAATGGAGGGCGGGACCAGTCTGTCCCCCCTCCCCCAATTCATATATTGAAGTCCTAACCCCAGTACCTCTGAGTGTGACCGTATTTGAAGACAGGGCCTTTCAAGAGGCGATGAAGCTAAAATGAGACCATTAGAGTGGGCCCTGATCCACGATGACTGATGTTCTCATAGTAAGAAGAAATTTGGGCACGCAAAGGGAAGTTTGAGCATCAGGGACACTTAGCACAGAGAAAAGATCATGTGGGGACACAGTGAGAAGATGGCCGTCTGCAGGCCGAGGCGCGAGGCCTCAGAGGAAACAAACCTGTCAGCACCTTGTTCTTGAACTTTCAGCCTCCTGAACTGTGAGAAACTTACATTTCTGTTGGTGAAGCCACCCAACCTGAAACAGTCTATTGTGGCAGCCATAGCAAATTAATATGCTCCCTTGTGAGAGATTTTAATACTGGAGGAACCCTTAATACTTTTCTTCAGGTGACTCATTCACAAGTGTAATTGAATGTGAGCTCACTTCATCTGTGTCTGAACCTAGACATGGAGAGAAGCCGTAAGAGCAGCTCCCACAGTGCAGGGCTGCCTTCCCTCGTGGCAGCGATTGGCTGGGACATGTAGCAGCTGCCTGCTTTCTAAGGGCCAGTGTCACACAGACCCAAGACTGCCTACTGTCATGCACGTAATCGCTCCCCCCACTTACAGCATCTCCCTGGCTTCTGCAAGCCTTTGAGCCACTGCGATGGTCTGCTCAGAGCCAGGCGCTGAAGCCATGATGCCTCCATGGCAGGGGCAGAGGCGTGGCTCAGACAGCCCCAGAGCCTGCGCAGCAGCACGCCCACCACTCACGTTTCCTCTAAAGCCAGTGACATTGATTTTTTTTTTTTTTAATTAATGGCTCCGAGGACAAAATAGAGTTGCAGAATCAAAGAAGCGATAATTTTTCTCTGGCCATTGTAATCTTTGAAGTGGAGTCACCTTGTGAATAAACCAGATTATAAAACATAGGGATATCCTCCCCATTTCCATTTGCTTATGTAAAAACTTGTTATCAAAGGAAGGAAGCTGATTATGAGTCCAAAGGGGGATGCTGTGGTTTAGTACAAATCAGGGGTTTAAGTTGTTGCAGGACTTCTTGGGAAGAGTTGACAAGATTAATTTCGTCCACATTGGGGTTGATTCAAAGGTTGTTCTTTGCTGGTTTGTGATGCCCCCAGCACTATGTTTCCTTGGTCTTTGGTTAATTTATAGAAGTTGCAAATAATCAGGAAAGGTCTCCAGAGATAGTCTGTGAGCCCTGTGACCCTTCTTCCTCCCATGGCCAAGGAGAGTCCCCCAGGACAAAAGCTAAGATGTTCGAGGGATGCTGGGCTGCACGGAGCTCAAAAGCAGAGCTCTCTCTCTAACTTCTCTCTCTCTCTCTCTCATTTTCTCTCCTGCTCACTCCACTCTCATTCACTCACTCTCTCTTGCTAGAGCAGATTGAAAAGATTTTCAACTAGGGTGTCCCCAACAATAAGAGTTCAAGGGGGGCTGCTTTTGCAGGAGGCCCAGGACTTGGGACTCGCATTAGAATCTTCAGGCACAGGCACTGGTTAGCTATAGACTTTGAAGCAAATAGCATCTCAATATTGATCTGTGATGCCCCATAAACTAAGGATGCAAAAGATTCATGTGTCCCAATGACCAAATATTAATTCAGTACCAGTGCCCCTTCCTGGACAGGAGCGAAATGCACACGTCCCACCAAACACACACACCCAATAACAGCCCCTCTTACGTATACACAAGAACCCCCATGCTCACACACCACAACAACTAGCACATACACCACCAACTGCCCCCCCACACACATCGTCAGCCACATCATCAGCCACTGCTCACCCACCACATGTCGATAACAAACACCACCACACACAACGCACCACCCCTACGCACAGATTCACAACAGGCACATTACAAAAATGCAGTCCCCATAAGTGAGAGAGAGGGAATGTGAAAAACAAGAACCCTCAGCAAAATCATCTCTGTTCTCTGTTCTTCTCGTTGTTTCAGAGTCTCTACCTCTGCTTTACACTAACCCAGATTTTAACATTGACTTTTGAAGAGAAATGTCTAGTACCTTTGATAGTTCTATCTTCTCTATGTGTTTGTCCGGAGTCTCCTGATTCTGTCACTTTAGGCAAGAGGGTCTGCTGTCATGTTCTTTTCTCAGTGTGTCTTAAAAAACAAAGGCACAGCTGCATTTTATAACCTGGTATCAGATCACATTTTCTCGTCATGCCTGCCTCCTTGCCCAAAAGCAATGAAAGCTCCTTTACTAATGAAAAAAATTAGTAAGGTACCGTAATCGGGTCGCTTTAGAAGGGTGTGGATTATGTGCGTTTTAGGGCATGAGAGGTGTGTTTAGTTTTTCAGAAATAAAAATTGGACATATCACCCGCCTCTAATTTGGAAAGAGATTATTCAAAAGCAGTCAACTCTTGATTACACTAAGCCTAATGTACTTGGGCCTTGTTTTTTTGTCCCCTCTGCTGCCTACTCTTTCTCAGTTTCACTGTTCATTACCTTCTTTGTCATTGTGTAGAAAGAAAGGTCATGGTGATATATAAGTCAACCCTTTTCATTTTATCTTTGTAGCTCTGCAAAAGATTTGGAAGAGGAATAAGATAAACCTAAGGATCACCTGAGGATTTTATATAATTACTTCTGTGCTCTTTGCCCCCCAATTTGTATTGTTTAATTGAGTTTTTTTTACATGAGATAAATGTGTCTTTATCGCTCCATCCTTGCCTCAATACAAGGATTGCTCCAACAAGCAATTTGGCAAATGAAAGTTATCAATAAGAGCCACTGCAAAGGGCTTGTTAACCCAAACTATGATGTCTGTACCACATTCCTCTGCCAACTTCTAGGTCACCCACACCAAAGTTCACTAAGCTCAATATCCTCTGGAAGGATTTGACATAAAAGCGAATTGCATGTGAACTGGGTGTATGACTCTGTAATGCTATAACCGCACAGAAAACTGCTGTCATCTCTGGCCACTGATAAACTCTACTTGGCATAAAGAAAGACATCTAAAATTTATGAACTTCAGTAAACCCATCTACAATAGATTCATTGCCCA